AGGAACACAGGCACTCAGGTGTCTCTTTTGCTACAGGCGCACAGCTGTAGTCCACTGCACTAGAACCTTGAGCAACAGGCATGGATACATGCAAGTGATACGTGAAACAGACAGGCACCTGGATGTGTAACATTCAGTGTTTCACCCCCTCCCCCCCCTCCCCCCTGCCCTTCTTCCTCTTCAACCTTGCTCCGCTCAAAGTGCTCCTTGTTCCTACTTCGTGTGATCGTCGCGCAGCCTCACGTGCTTCCGCCTCTTCCCCCCGTTTTGTTTCACAATCTTAGAAGCGCACCAGCGAAGCTTGTCAACTTGAAGGTTCCCGTTTAGTCTCACAATCTTAGAAGCGCACCAGTGAAGCTTGTCGGCTTGAGGGTTTAGGACCACTGTGACTGCGAGTAGCGGCTCAAAACTGGCGCACAGCCTCGCGGACACCAAACGACTTTGCTGTACAAGTGCATTCGGCTTCTGGTCTGTCGCCCACGGGGTCGGCGGCTTGAGCCGGAGGCTCTTAAATCGGGCAGCGCTTCGCTGCCCTGTATGGACTGAGCTATGGCTCAGACGAATGAGCTTCGTCTGCGAAGCAGAAGCCACGACCGACAGTGCCGCCGACCCGCCCCGGACCCCGCATCATCGGACCCTCGTTTCTCCCTCGGGCCGCGCGGGGCCTGGCCCGAAGGCGTCTCGGAACGCGCACGCGTTTTGCAGCCATTCCCCGCGGTGTGGCGGGTTTCGGGGCCGCCGTGGACGACCCCAGCAGGCGAGCCGGCGAGCATCATGAGCCCTCGGGCGCCCGCAACCGGCACCGGCGGCGCGACGTGGGCGCGAAGTCATAACTCCCAAGTTTTTGAGTGGGTTGCGGAAGCCGCCAAAGGGCGCGCATCATGAGCATCAGCGGGGTCCGGCGGACGGGGGGTGCGGGCTACATGCAGGGCCGACGGGGGCTGAGAGCCTACGATCACCCACAAGTTGCGCACTTCGGGCCTACGTTGCACTTATCTATATACCGCGGGTTTCTGACAACAGCTCGCGCTGCCCGCACCTGGGCGCAGCCCCTAAATTCGATTGGCGTCCAGTCGCATCTGCAACGCAACGCGACGGGCGCTGCTGGCATTGCTGCAATGGGACCTGGAATCCCTCAAGACTGGGCGCTTTGCAGGTAGGCATCATCGTGGTGTGGTATTCGGAAAGGGCACGGCAAGGGGCAAGAACACAAGGAGCCGGATCATAAATCATGTGCCATTTCCTTCTGGTGGAAGGGCGACCAGGAAGCGCACATGCTGTCCCACCAGCGTTTCAAGCGCAACTATTCGACAGCAAATGTTGCCACTTTTGCTTTGCTCTGGAAAGGATGTCTGGCCTCACCTACGCCGCCATCGAAGAACCTTTGAAACGCAAGCTCGCACAGAGCAGGAAAGCTCTCTGTGGCAACAGATCCCCTTTTCCCAAACATAGGCGTGCTTTCAAAAGCTTCCTGTTTGCAACGGTATAAAGACACCTTGTTTGCTGTAGAACAGTAGAATAGCTTATAGGTGGTTTAGAATTTAGAAGAGTTGCAATAAAAAAGCGCTAGCTTTGGCAGCCAAGTTGTGCATCTGTGCATTCTGCGAACCTCATTCGGGGAACTTTGAGAAGCCGAATCTGTCTGGTCAAACTAAGCAATTTGTCGATGGCCGCTGGATTTCAGGGAGCCGTCGTACAGCATATTGGGGTCTAAAACGAGCCAGGGTTTCGAGGTCAGCTTGTATTGGTCCCCGGATTCCAGGAGCCGGCGTACAATTACTATGGTGAGGATTGAAATCAGTCACAGCCGTCGAGGTCAGATGCATAAACTTCTTGGACTGCATGATGCGACGCCGCTGGACGATGTGAGTGTTGGCTTCCTTTACACTTTACGTCGCGACCCGAGCTGTGGAGAAAACACTAACCTGGACCTCCACATCAGGCCTCTCACAGTTGCAGCCCTGGGCAAACCAGACGTCGCCAGCTACCCTGAAATCTCCTCACGCATCAAAACATCTCGCACGAGGCATTTGTTGACGTTGGTGACGCATCTTGGAATTGAAGTGGAAACTAAACTGCAGCAATGGCGCCAACTTGTACTGTTTTCTTATTATTGTTTTATTTGGTTGGCGCATGCGCATGCACAATGAAAGGGACGTGCTTCGCGCGGTAGATGCCGACTCTAGTCACTACAGTCAACTGCATGCCTCCATTCTGTGGCGCTTGGATGCTGCTTTGTCCCTTTTGGGGACAGGCCAGCGACCGTTTCTTACTGACAAGGAACAATGTCAAACCGTTGAACAGTTGCAGCTACACTTGCTGCTATAGCAATGCATGGCGAGGCACGCGCTGCGTCACAAGGAAACTCTGTGCATTGCGGCCGAAACGTCATTATCTATGGCATCTGTAGTCATCTGATCCACGACATTCAATCCAATAGGATCAACCCAATCTTCTTCGCGAGTTCTGCAAGGGAGGACTACATGAACTTCACGAGGGAGTTGCGCACGTGCCTTGTCATCCACGAGCTATGTTGTGGAGCTGAGCACTCGTTAATTGTTGTAGAAAACGCTGACGTGGCGCCGTCTGCAGAACGAAATTGAGAAGGAGTGGATGTCGGCAGAATTAAAGACGGAACGCCTCAACCCAGTTCAAGCCGGCAAACCCTGAAATTGACCCTCTGCACTTGCTCGTCCGCTGGTTGCAATGCATGCTTGGACAAGTCGGTCGCTTAGTCGATTCCGCTTGCATGGCCACTTGTGCGTGAAATTTGCATGACATGGCTGGAATTTCGGCCGGTTGCTCGACTCCGCTTGCCTGGTTGCTTTTGCGTGACATCTGCTTGGCATGTCGCTTGGTCGTGCTTAGACGAAGCGTCCGCTGGACGATTTATTGAGCTTGCTCTAGTCTAAATCTCTGGTCATGCATCGTGAAGGAAGTTTGATGCAAACCTTGTTGTTACTTCTGTGATTTATAGCATAGACACAGACAACTTGGTGCTTACGAAAGGTCAAAAAGCTCTGGTTGGCATGCCGCAAACCCTGCAGTCCTACGTTCCTGCGGTTGCTGCAGCCTGCAATTTGCGGTAGCTGTTGCTGTCCTGCGATCCTGCGGCCCCTGCCAGTGCAGATCTTGCACTCAACTCAATTCATAGGTTCTTTCTTGCATTCGTAACGCGTCGGGTTCTGGGACAATCCCCCCCAATAATCCGAATATAGCCTCTGCAAGCGCGAGAGAGAGAGAGAGAGAGAGAGAGAGAGAGAGAGAGAGAGAGAGAGAGAGAGAGAGAGAGAGAGAGAGAGAGAGAGAGAGAGAGAGAGAGAGGAGAGAGAGAGAGAGAGAGAGAGAGAGAGAGAGAGAGAGAGAGAGAGAGAGAGAGAGAGAGAGAGGAGAGAGAGAGAGGGAGAGAGAGGAGAGAGAGAGGGGGAGAGAGGGAGAGGAGAGGGAGAGAGAGGAGAGAGAGAGAGAGGAGAGAGGAGGAGGGGGGAGAGGAGGAGAGGGGAGAGAGAGGGAGAGAGAGGGAGGAGAGGGGAGGGAGAGAGAGAGAGAGGGAGAGAGAGGGAGAGAGAGACATAGAAAGAGAAAGCAAAAAGAAAGAAACAGAGAAAGAGAGAAAGAGAGAAACAGAGAAAGAGAGAAACAGAGAGAGAGAGAGAGAGAGAGAGGGAGAGAGACAGAGAGAGAGAGAGGGGGAGAGAGGGGGAGAGAGGGGGAGAGAGGGAGAGAGAGGGGGAGAGAGGGGGAGAGAGGGGGAGAGGGGGAGAGGGGGAGGGAGAGGGGGAGAGGGGAGAGGGGAGAGGGGGAGGGGGGAGAGGGGGAGGGGGGAGAGGGAGAAGGAGAGGGAGAGGGGGTGAGGGAGAGGGGGAGAGGGGGGAGAGGGAGAAGGAGAGGGAGAGAAGGAGAGAAGGAGAGAAGGAGAGAAGGAGAGAGGGAGAGAGGGAGAGAGGGAGAGAGGGAGAGAGGGAGAGAGGGAGAGAGGGAGAGAGGGAGAGAGGGAGAGAGAGAGAGAGAGAGAGAGAGAGGGAGGGAGAGAGAGGGCGAGGGCGGGCGAGGGCGAGGGCCACCCTGTGGCGATCCATGGAGTCTGCCTTATCGTGCCGAATTGTACCGTAATCGTCTCTGGCGAACTCCTACTCGGGCGCATTCCGGACCAAATGCTCTCAGGAAATTAGATTTTGACCGGCAGAAGATATTATGTTATGTCTGCCTTTGAAGAATTGAGGTTGGGTCTGCCATGTTGGTCGGGCAGGAACGCTCGCCAAACTTCATTGACTTGATTGTGCGTTGATCCCTTCAAACATGCAGACGGGAATGGGGCACTCTCACTTTGCATTGGTTCAGCAGCGCACGTCCGTCTTGGTGCGGGAATCGTGTAGTCACCATCAAAGGAGCAGAAACGTCCCCACATCAGATGCCGATCAGCGGGCCACGGTTCAGAGCCCCCCGCCAGGTCGAATGGCGGTGCCGGGGTGGAGAAGAAACACCGGTAGTGGAGGCCTCGCCTCAGTTTACCTATCACGAGGTTGAGATCCTTTTAGGGTGGGTCGGAGCTTGAGCACTCACGGCTTGAGCCAAAATGGCGAACCCTCTCCCTCTCGCTTCCTCAAGATGTTTCTCGCATGAAACAGTCCAAGTTACGAAACTCAAAACGTCACAGCTTGCGCCTGTGTTTCTGGATGCTTCGGCGTGTAGCCCTCGAGCTGGTCGGCATCCGAGTTCTGGCGAATGAGAAGCACTCTACGGAACCCTTCTCGCAGAATCGAATCTAGCTGAATCCAGGGTCTAGGGTCGACATTCACACAATTTAGAAGCTCATTCGGCCCCGCTGTAGCTCCGGTTGTCCGACTTACTTTCGAAGCCTTGGTCCAAGCCCTCCTGTGCCTGCGTGCCTCTGAGACTTGCTGTACGTGTATCTGCTGCTAGAAGGACTGCTGCCCGGACTCGGACTATGGATAGGAAACAGCGGCTGCCGATTTCTGAGGTTTTCAACGTGAAGGCCATTATCCCCGCACTGTCCGTCGCAGTCTCAAGAACCCCCTTGCAAGCATCTGCTTTGGAGTCTTAGCAAGCCCTGGGGCCTTGGGCATCAGATTCAAGCCACATTCTCGCAGCTCATTCAAGAGAGTCGCCGGGCCTGAACCAGATTTAGAGATGCTCGAGCTTCGTTTTCACGGAGATGCACGGACGGTATAGTTTTGCGTCATTTCACCGCTCGTGGTCTCTCTTGGGCGGCCCTGCTGCGCACACGAGGTCGACGGCCGCTGGGCCCACTGAGGCCACCCGCCTGCCAAAGCGTCCGCGAGCCAAAACACAGCATTTGCACCACTGCCATGTGGCAACCGGAGCCTCGCCACTGCCAGCTTCAAACCTGCCAGCCGCCGTTTACGAAGCATCGGCGCACCAAACTTGCCGAGTGCTCGGCATGACGTCCAGCAGCTCAGGCATCTGAGGCCCCTTGAGCCTCGAGAAGGAACTCGGGCACAAGGACCGAGTTGTCCCACCGCCCGGCCTCAGACCATCCTCGGAGATCATGAAACGAAGCTCGTACCTGGCCGCCTCATCAGCTACTGAGATGTGTCTGCTGTGCACTTCAAGACTTCAAGCCTGCACTGTCAGCTCCACGGTGAGATCATCACATGGCCTGCTGGTGAAACCAGTCCAAGTTCTCTGAAAGCGGCATAAGCAAAGCTCCTCATGTTCCAGTTTTTGTACGGCAGGTCAATGTGCCTCTCCTTCAGGACGGGCCCGGAAGATTACGGCCCCTCTGAAAGCTTCATGCTAGCAACAAACAGCATGGATGCTTGGATGCATCGTCCTGCGTAATGGAAAACGATGCAAGGCGTGCAGTGAAGAAGGAGATCTTGCGTGTGTCCTGTGCATTGGTACAGGCCACAGCAGCCCGTGCGACTGGAAGAGCCAACTGGCAAATGGCCTCCTCCCAAGTAATTTCGCTGATGCCTTCTGCTGACCAACGCTCAAGGGATGCCTTGGTGCGGATGCGTGCGGTCACCCGGCCTACCACGCAGATCCTGTAAGGGACAGGCATCCCACCAGGAGACCACGGGGCTCTTGCTGACGAGCACGTGGGCTGGAACCTCTCAAAGACCGGTCAAAGCAAAGCCTTGGCAAAACCAAGTTGGAATTGCCCGCGACTGCTCTGGGATGTCGTTTCAACTTCACAATGTTTCTTCGTGGCACGGAAACACCTCCGGCATATCTCGGGTACACTCGCGATGCAGGCACGTTTGCCTTGTAGTCAATCTTGCAGGGAGCTGCGATCGCTGTACTGGCCTGTCATATGTACAACTGCCGGCAGTTGCTACACCCTGCACGTGTCGGCGGCACCGTGGTGTGCTCTGTGTTTGGATATGGCAGCTTCATGAGTTCCTTCGCGACATGAAGCTTCATGAAGCGTTCTCCAATCATCACTGCGTGACTGCGTGGAAGGGTCCTTGCCAGGAGCAGGGACCTGACGGATGGTCCAGCCTTTGACCTTTTTGCTGAATGGAGGAATAGACAACAAGTCCACCTCGGCCAGGCTGAGCATGTCGCGCAGAGATGCACAAACACTCGGCATGGCTAAGAACTTGGCACGGATCATGCCTCCTATTCCCATCTGTGGGTCTTTACCCTGCGCACTGTCGAAGGTCGTGTACAAGGACCGCACCTTAACACTACAAGGCAATCGCGCCAAGATGACGCCGGCAAGCCAAAGACGCGCTGAAAATGACCAAGTTGGGCACACCAATGCAATGTCCGGCGGACTGCATCTGAATCGCTTTCGGCAAATCTAGTCCTTTCTCAATGTTCGGTCATCGTTGATCACAGACGACGAATTCCTAACTTCCATGTCTCTCCTATCTGAATCTTGCTGTGCTCGATGGACTTGGCACGGAAACCCTTGCTTTGCAAGTGGCCCCAGAATCCGACCTGACTGCAATCCCAAGGCAGGAAGTCTCACTACCGGCGACACACCGTTCAAAGCCTTCAAAGCATCAATAGCATTGCCCCACTGCAGGTACACCTTGAAAACAAAACTTCGAGGTTGTGTGTTGTGCAACCGGTCAAACAAGGAACAATCTCTGCTTACCATCCACACCTGTGAATAAGTGTTCGCTTCCTGCTTCTCGATATATAGTAGCCTTGGCTCGAGCAAGGAAAGATGCAGCTTTGCAAAGAAGCCACACAACCTGAATTAATCGTTGGCTTGTGGCCGCACTTGCGAACAAGGGTGCGAAGATCCGGCACAGCGTGATCTACGCACTGTCACCAGTCCCGTGATAGACTACTGCATGACGAGACGTTCCGCGTTGCATTGACCCGGTAAGCAATGATCTCTTCTTGAAGCCACCACGCCTTCGACCGCTGAAAAGCACAATTTCCGCTACCCCTTCGACCGTTGAACAGCAAAAGATCGAACGGATGTAGTAGTCATGCAAACTGATGCGCAAATCCAGTTGTCGTTGCGACCGACTCTAGGCGAACTGCTCCGAGGGGTCCCTTACAGCCGAATGCAGTTTTGAAGAAGCATACGTCCGTGTACGGCTCCGACCACGGAGCCCAGTACCATCGCCAGTCTTGGCCTGCCCCTAGAAAGCAAAGTTGGTGTAAAAGGAACATTCGGCTTTGCTTCGCTCTCACCGCAAGGCGGTCTTGGACGATGCTGGCACGCATGCTTCCTTGAGATCGGAACCATCGGTCCATGGCTGTCGGGCCTCGATTTCCTTAGCGGGTTTCGCTCGCAGTTCGATGGACCTGCCGTGACGTGCCTGCCATCCTTCGCTTGCCGACGCGAAGTGTGGTTTGTATTTTTCTTGGACCCGAAGAATGTTAAGGCTTGCGGCTACACCATCATTTCTGAAGGCTTCGAGTTCCAGTCAGGAGACTAAGAATCTGAGCCGCGAAAGCACGAAAAGCAGCCGAACACAGGGTCAAAAATCTGAGTCCCAATAACCTTCCCGGTGCAGAGTCTTAAGTAGCGCTCGTGCTGTGGGATTCGGACGGCCCAATGCACAAAACTTGTGTCAATGTGGCGTCGTGGTAGGAAGATGCGGCAGGTCCGAAAAGACAATCCCGATTACACCCACCAAGAGAGTAACACAAGCGTTGCTCGGCTTCACTTACATCGCGGTAGCTGGAACGGGGGAAGACAATGGGTCGACTGTGTATCAAGAAATTGGAGCTTTGAAGTCAGAGCGGAGAGATTTTAAGATAGCTTACTATCTGCGCAACCTTGAGCCTTCAACACGAGCACATTGTAAAGGTAAAGGGGTGAAAAGATACGAAAACCATAAACCAGATGTCTTTGCTGGTCAAGGCCTGGCCGTTGCGGCTTCAGCTTTGTGAAAACATGTCCTGCCAGGAAGGCCGAGAGGAACCGACGATCGACTTTGGAACACGCTTCATAGCGGCATGGCGCGTTCCACCTCGCTACAACCAACGGAGGTAGGTTGGAAAGCTAGGACGATACGAGTACGAGAGTACGAGCTTTGATCGATTCGAAGAGATCGGAAATTAACGAACCATGCCATGGCTGCTTCGAAACGGCCTCGGGCTAGCCAAAGCGAGCTCACATTCTTGCAAAAGATGGGGAGTGGACAAATGCGCCGTTGCTGCATCTATCAGCTCGATTTCCAGTTCGCGGATCTCTGCGATGTAGTGCATGCACCTTGGAAATGGACATGTGCGGAGCTGCAGTTCGTTCAGGTGGAACTTAGGCTGCAGCCAGTCTTGTCTGATGACATCGCCCTCTTCACAAGCTTTGCAGTAGAGTTCCAAGAGGTCACCGACCTGTAGATTCATGGGCCGATGAGCATGCCCCCCCCCCCCCAGTCGAGAAGCTTTTCCAAGAAGCGGGCAACCTCCTCTGCAGCCTTGCACTTCTCGATGGCAGACTCCATAGACTCTCGATCTGATTTCTCCTCACCTGACAGAGCAGCTTTCAACAAATCTTCAGTTGAACTCAAGTCTCGAACGCCGAGTATAGGGCGAACCATCGTGACATATGTGGTAATCTCGCTTTCAAACCTTAGAATCAGATCTAGCCGAGCCATGGCGGCTGCCCTGCAGTCGCACTGAGCACGATGCATGACATTCGGGCGTGATGTGCAGGACACGAACTTCTGCCATTCAATCTTCTCTTGGAGCTTCGACCTTAGAGAGAATAATCTACCGGACCGGTGTTCCCCTGAGCTACGCAGGCGCAACCAAGATTGGAGCTGCTCATAGTCTAGGCATCGCTTCCGTTCGCCCTTCATTCCTGCCAAACCGATGGGATATCGGCGCAGTGCATGCCGGTGTCCGCAAACCGGGCAGCAACACGAGCAACAATCTCTTGCTCCTCCTCGCAGCGCAAGTCAGCGGTCAGCGCATGACAATTGCAAAATGTGACCTATCCATTCCAGGAACTTTGCCCAGCCTCTAATCGCTCCGCTTCTAACACGCGGTTCTTACCTTCCAGCTCAATTTCCAGGCGCTCCCGATGGGCGGCCAGAGCATCCTTCACAGAGCAGGGTGCTATTCTATCATCGCAAAATCCCGCATATCCCGAAGCCCCAGGAACCCTAGAAACCACAGCTAATGTTAGCCTCCTAGCTCCCCCATGCGCCCCCTGCTTGACAGGAGCAAAACTGAAATCGTCTCTCAGTCAAGTCCGCTATGCCGCTATGCCGGTGGCTTCATGATTTTCACCGGCTCGCCCCCGTGATCCCCCGTGCCAACAATCGTGCGCCGCGTCTTCTTTACAGGATTCTTTACAGGTCCCGGGTGCTCTGTCGCGATGCGCCGGGCAGCGCCTTCGTAGCAATCGGAACACACGGACATGACACAAAGAATTTCTGCTGCGTCGGCATCAGCCGTCAGCGGAAGAGTTCCCCGTGCAGTCGGAAGAGTTTGGTAGGGAAAGCTCGGCACAGAAGTGGACAGGGTGAAGGCAAGCGCGGCGACGCCAGCGACTCGAGGCGAGTCCACGCAGGTCCGGCACCAAGGCTACTAAGTAGCAGCTGCACGCACTGTCGTCACAACGACATCCTTCGAACCCCATGCCAGCATCGAGATCATGTTACACAGAGTAACTGTCGGAGGATTCGAAGACATGCGCCGTCAGCATCCGGGACTGTGACGCACGTGCCAGCACAACACATCAATTTCTCGATGAGTCTTGACAACGGATCTTCCCCGCTGATGTCTCAGCCCGAATGACGTCGCAAGGCTGGGGCCATCCAGGAACCACTCGATTTTGACTCCGAGTTTGTACTTTGTACACTTGCAACGTCGATTGCTTGCTCTTCCCTTTCCATCCACCTGAATACCACATTACTGGGATGTCGCTGAGCTGCCGGAGAACGAACTTTCCTCGAAACGCAGAGCAGACGAGTCCGCTGTCTCAGGGCTCATTGCACTGCCACACACTTGGAATACACTGCATGAGGAGAAGTACAATTACGAAGGAAATGTAAACTCTCCATCTAGAAGCCCTGGCCTGTGCTTGAACTTCAACCTTGCTGCCTACAGCGTTCTGTTCGATCTGTGACCGCCAGCCAGGTGGGAGAGAATCAATTATCAAGCCAGCCTCAGCAACTACTTCTACATCAGGTACTCGTTAATGAAGAATTGAACAACTAATTGGATAATGCTGGCGGGAGAGCATGCCCGAGCTTCATGCGTGCAGCGAGACTCGGCAGACTTGCCCACCTCCTCCAACTTGAACAGACGTTCTTTTTCTTCATGGCGTCGTTGCTCTTCTGCTGCCTTCTGCAACTCATCCTGGTCGTCGGAAAGCGTACCGCGAAAACATGAAAGAAGCTCTGTGGCACCAGAACTGACATGCCTCCAGTTGTTTCTTGGACTTTTTCTTTGTTTTTGGCATGGCACTTCTCTGAGCTGCCGAGCTGGTGATCACGTGCGTCTAAAATGCATGGAACTCAAGGCCATCATTCGCGGTTTGATCCTGTGGCAAACACGGTACGAAACGGCCTGGAAGTGAGTTCATGGAAGCGACTTTTCATGTCCTTTCTAAACCTCCGGCCAAATAGCCCCATTCGGAAAGCACCTGTAGCTCGTTGCACGAATGACTGCACACAAACCGTGGCAATTAGCAACACAGCCAGCCCTCATGGTGCCCTCGGAATCTTTGGTCGAAATGAGCACAAGGCATTGCAGCACCGACTTGCACATATTCATTTGCAGTCGTGCCGCAAGGCCGTGAAACAGCATGCATGGATTTTGTGGGTGAGACATGGCGACATGGCGAGGTGGTGCTGTGTGGCGAAACTACTCCATGGACCCTGCGCGTCGCATGCTCCCGCTCGAAGGCCTCCTTGTAAACACATCAAAGGAAACCGGCAGATGGACCATGAAAGGCTCGCTGCGCAAACAGAGGCACTGGGAGATGCTTAGCCGAGGACTTCTGGATGTTGCTGGGCTTGTTGCTGCTGCTTCGGGTCGGGGCAGGAGTCATCCCCAGCCTTTTTTCAGGCTAGCCGTGGTTCGAAACTAACTGCAACTGCACAATTGAGATAGTGGCGGAGGCAAGCCCACATTCATTCCAGCCATTCCTGATCCAGGCCTGTGCTGCTCTCATCCGCAGGCTATGCCATGGTGTCACGAGAAATCCTTCGCTACTTAGCAACCGGCTGCTGGACAACACGCATTTGTGGTTGTCCACCATTGGCAGGCTTCTTTGCCGCAATCGGGTTCATGATGCCGACTGTCGGTGCCGCTCCGAAAACCTGCGAGGCACGATGCCGACAAGTCCGCACTCTGCAGCACTGTGGCACTGTGTTGTTTCGCTTTACTTGTCTCCCTCTCTGATGCCTTGTTGTAGTTCTGCTCTCGGTTCACGAGCTCCAGCTTGTAGAACTGCATGTCGTCAAGGAGCCTGGGTGCGCAGTTGGCCGCAGGCCCCTGCAGCTGAACAAAAGCACAAAAAAAAAGCCGTGGCTTTGGCTTCTTCACCTGCGCAGATTTCTCATCCAAATCCTTCTCCAGATTGGCGATAAGCTCCAAGTCCTTCTGCGTTCTCACATCCAGTCCGTTCCAGTTTATGCTAGTCTTCATGCCTCTTCGCGGGAAGGTCTCGACTCATACAGCTCCTGCAGCCTCCCGGCCAGAGTTCATGCTACAACACGAGACATCATCTCCCGACATCTGCCCAACATCTCCGTTTCCACCCGACACAGACGGCGTCTGAGTTGACTGCTCCACAATCCTCTTTTGCAGCATGTCTATTTGCATCTCCTGTTGCAACTGCTGGGTGCGGACGGTACCTCACACATATCTCTGGTCTCAACTCGTGCCTGCAGCTGTCGGGCCCTGTCGAACTGCTGCTTCAATTCGACCGTCTCCTGCGAATTGAAACAAAAGCAGCATTCGTCGCTTGGCCCAAGTCGATGCGCCTTCAGGTGGGCCTCTAGGAGCTGCTCGACTCCTACGGCGTAGTGAAGCTCTGCTGCACTCGGAAGTTAGATTCCGATGAGACAGGCGACAGTGTCCTCTCTTGTGTTGTTCTTTGATGTTACGCTTCTCGCGCTCGAACTCCTTCGGGTGGCACTAAGGGACGAAGACGACAACCTCGCTACCAAGCAAAGTGGACACTCCGAACCTCATCACTCAGAACACGAAGAAGAGCTTAAATGTTGCCAGCCTTCTACCTCTGTTCACCCTTCCTCGTCCGCGAGACGAGTATGCCGTCGAGACTGTTCTGCATTTGCAACTTCGTGTCCTCGCGCTGATACTTCATCATCTCGTCGTGCTTCGCTGCAGCCGCCCTGAACTGCTCCTCAAAGCGATGAATAATTGAACATAGCTGCACACAACAGTAGAGAAGACCTGCTGAGTACCCAGCCTCCAGTTGCTTCATTGCTGCTCTAGAAGTTTCCAATTCCCCGCTCAACTTCGTCACCTGTCATAAATTTTGAACACTTTGGAGCCCATGTTGAGAGCCATGATGTTGCCTGCGTTGCCTGCAGCACCCCCTGCCCCTGCCTGTGTGCGAGTCGTCGTGAGCTGCTCCCTTTCGGAAGCCAATTCTGTGCTGATGGCTTGCATCGCTTCAGCATGCCTGCGACTGGAGCGTCACATGCACACAGCCAAGGTGCCGAAAAAAGCCTACAGAGGCCTACTTGAAAGCGCCTTGCAGCTGCCACTTTGGCAGATGCTTCCACCTCTTGCACAGCTTTGGCCATCTCAGCACGAACCTCATGCTCATGATGCTCATGTGAAAGCGTCAACTCTCTGATCTTGTTGCAAAGTCAAGTGCATCATCAACGGAACCTCCTTCATAGCGGCATTGTGCGTGGCTGCAGCTTCACGCACTTCGGCAGCATGCGCAGTCTGCCGAGTCACTCGTCATGGCAGCAAGAGATCAGGAAAGGTGTTTGAGCCTGTGATGGTATCTCGTGGACTTGCCATCGCTATCGCAGCATTCTAGCTCCGAAAAGACGTCAGCGGAGGCCTTGAGGTTTTCTGTTTCTCGGAGATGCTTCTGACGCATTTCATCCACCCGCTCCTTCAAGCAACGAGCAAGAACAACCAGAATCCCGTAAGCAGCAAGCACATCCGGGCTGGGGGCTGCTTGCCTGATGTGACTTTCCCAACTTCTGCTGCAACTGGTCCAGTGCTTCAGACTGTGCTTTGAACACCTCTTCAAGCTTGGCCTGATAAGATGCGGCATGGCCATGCATGGCCCACGGCTGAGCCGACACCAAACTGTCTGCACTGCGCTACCTCGTGCTCGACATTTAGACGTTGGACCATCTCCACACCTTCGGTCTTGACCTGCGCACGAAAGAAATTCGCTGGCCAACTTCCATCAAGCTTGCAGTAGCGAACGTCTCTAACGTCTGCAAGGCGAGGGGAGGCCTTCTCAAGCTCCAACCGAGATGAGGCAATTATCCGCTGCACCTCTGCCTAGCGTAATCAGATCCGGACTCAGTCAAACACCTTGCTTTGGAGAGTCAGAGATCCGGTCCTGCCCATCTCGCGTCGCGGCCTGAAGCGCCTCCTCAAGCTCTTCGATTTTCTGCTTGAGTCTCCTGAGGCAGCGCAAAGCATTGCACTGCGCAGTCCACGCCGCTGAGCCCTGGCAGCGCCCTGCCATGCCTTGTCTCAGACTCATGCGCGTCTTGAAGGTGCCTCCCACCGATGCCACCGCTCATTCTGCTGCGTTTGAGGCTACGCTGCGCCGCTGCGCCTAAGTTCGTCTTGGAGTCTGTGGACCTCTGCGAGCCCTTCGCGACCACGGCTTTCAAGAGCTTTCATCATTTCCTGCAGGCAGCGGCAGCGTCTCGCGGCCGGCGAGACGCGATGCTTCAAAGGGCCAAGGTCTGTTGCGGTGTTTTCGACCTGATTTTGTTTGCCGGCCCTGAGCTTTCTTGGCAACGTGCGAAGCCGCAGAAGCTCAAAGCCCCACGTCGGCGGGTCCCCGAAACTGGCGGTCCTCGCGCAGGCTCTGCATCTCTCTTTGCTGCTTCTCGGCCAGCAGTGCGGCTTCCTTTTTAGCCTCGCTTTGCCTCGAAGCCAGGAATCAGAAATCACAATGAACGGAGTGTCAGAAGCTTGGAAGAACTCCACCATCGACTAACTGGGGCGTCCTCCGTACTGTTCACTGAGGCTTGAACAGTCGCTCTATCTCTGCCACATGCAAAGCCTGCTTTTTCTCGATATCACCTGCATCGCGGTCGTTCTGCCACCCATTCCTTGCTCGTTGGCATGCCAGCACCTTGAAGAGCTTGCAACTCGGAGTTTGCGACTGCCTGAGGCTGCGCGAGGTGAAGTTTGCTAATGAATTTCCCTTTGAGGCTCGGGCAGCCTGCTCTTCCAGAATACGCTTCAGGCGGCGCTCCTAATCGAGGCCAGCGGATCCGCAGGCTCCAAAGCTGTGCTTGCGGCCGCAGATGCGAAGCGAGGCCTCTTCGGTTTCACTTCGAGCTTCTTCCAGCTTCGACTCCAAGTCCTTGCCAACGCAGCACTGCGCAGCACTGAGCACAAGCACTGCGCCGCACATCGGAGCGCTTGGCGCCTTGAGCTTGGCCTGAACTTCAGTCAGCTCCGCCTCCTTCGCCTAGCGATGCGGGCAGAGCTGAGCTCTTGCAGAAAGCCTCCCTCCGCGACATGCGACATGTTGCGACACCTCCAGCAGACGCCGGCCGCTTTGATCCGATCCCTGCAACTCTCGGAGCTCGCGGCGAAGGCGGTCCGCCTGAGCAGGACAGCGCAGGGCACAGCCCAGGCCTACGGCCCCTTACGTCGCGGCGCCTCTGCTTCGAGTTCAGCTCGGAGAGATGCCACTTCTGCCTCCGGTGCAAAGCATGTTGACAACTGCTCCTTTTTGTGAAAACAACAATCGAACGCTTCAAACGATCGCATCGCCGCAAAGCTCTGCTGTAGACTATGAAGGAATGCTCGGGACTGCGCCGCGCTGGCTTCCTGCATCTCGGAGAGGTCACGTTCGTGTGTCCTGTGAGAAATCTCAGACCCAACGGAGACAATGCAGCATCCGGCCGGTCCTCTCCAATGCATACACCGCCTCAGCGTGCGCCTCTCTGGTGGCTTCCAACTCACGGCTTGCGGCTTCGTGCGCCTGCGCAAGCTGTCAAGCTTTCTTTGCAGTAGCCTCGTGCAGTTCAGAAGCAGAAGCCTTCTCGAGCTGGTTGTTGAAATCTTTTTCTCGCCTTGGGATCAAAACACTGGGTGCGATAGGTCACCCGGGTCATCTCCCGGGCCAGGCCCCTACAATGCTTTCATAAACGTGGCGAAGCATCATCGGTTAGCAACACATCACTGATTTTCATGAGCTCGCACTCAAGCCTGCTGTGATTGTTGGCCTGTGGAGCAAGTGCAGATGTGCCAGCCTGATGTGGTGTTCAACAAGCTGTTCTGTTCAGTTTCTGCTTCTCGCAGTCTAGAGAGCTCGTTCCCAGCGCTTTCGCTGGCTTGTTGCAAGGGCCCGAGCTCCGAGAATTTGCTTTGCCACTCCAGAAGCAATGTTTTGTGCTCCTCGAGCTCGGCCTGACATGTCGCCGCTTGAGGCTCCAGAGAAGTGCAGGCGCAGTGCATTTGCGCCTGCAGGCGATGGACCTCGGAGCCACCCTCGCGTGCCAGCTCCTCTCGGCGAGCCTCTGCGTCAGCCAGGGCCTGGGAAACTGCAGAAACACAAGGATCGAACGCGAGAACGGCACCGGTGCCTTCTCTACGCGTGCAAGCTCCTCCGCCTGCTTCTTCAACTCACCCTGCGCCTTAGACACCTTCCCCGGGCACAAAAGGTCGAGCACGGAAGGGATGCGCTGAAAGCCGTGTGACCTCTTCCCTTTCCCTCGCCAACTCGAGGCCCAACTCTGCCTGAGGCGATGCAAAAACCATCGGATAGCTCCGAGGTTTTCGACGTGCCTCGGCCGCTTTTCGGGAGGCGAGTTCAGCCTTGAGCGATGCTTCGTGCTCCTTCGCGGCCTGCTTTGTGAAAACTTTCACAACACCTACAAGAGAGCGAGTAAAACTCACCTTAAGTTCCTCCTCCCAGCGCTGCCGCTCTGCTTCAGCACTCGCCTGCCATCGTTGGGTGACACATCCACAGGCAAGGCTGCATACAAGATGCACTGATGCGTTGGATGCCTCTAGTCGTCCCTGATCTCGGTGCGACTTGTCGAGCAGATCCTGTAGGCCGACTGATTCAGAAACTCACGCTTTGTGATCAACCGTTACCATCCAGCTAGCAGCTAGCGACACTTGGAAATCCAGCACTCGTGGGTTCATTCGGGCCGAGCCCTGTGCACGGTTGCGGGACAGCCTGCCACCCCTTTTCGGAAGGCAGTGAACAACAAATGCAAGGCGGAGCTTTAGATTTCTTAAAGGTGGTGCAGCATTCTCCTGATACCAAGCCTTGGTGCAATCTGGGGGCTCAATCACGAGGACAGAGTGTGATTCGCAGCATTTGGTTAGCTGGAGTTTTCAACGTTGTTCAACATCATCGTGATTTTGGACAGCATTTGGCATATTCTGCATGTTGGAATAAATCGAAATTTGGAATACTCCCCAAAGCTGCATTTCATAGCTTGTTCATAGCTTGTAGCTGTTTTTGCGAATTTGCATGCCACGTCAGAAAGTCAAAGCACGGACATTGATGGGGGCGTCGCAATACAAATCTCGGCTGTGCATCGCAGTCGCTGCCCTCATCAGCACAAACTGACCAGTTGAGGCAAGCACGGATTGTGGCATGACTATCATGGAAATCGTTGTCATACTGATAAGAGCAATGTCGCCGCTTTTTTGCATGCACAAACACCGATGATGAAAACGGTACACACACATATACGTATACATATATACACATATATACACGCATACATCATGTATATATGGCGAATACGATGACGATGAAGATGGGGTTGAGGACGAGGATATTCATGTGGGCAGTGGCCTGTGTCCGCCGGTGTCTTTTCGGACACGGCGATCTTTGCCCCTCAACCTTGAAGCATCTTGCTGTGCATTTTGCCCATGCTCATGTCCGGGCCTTAAAGGCCCACAAGCAGACATGAGCTAAGCGGCGAACCTTTTGTGAATAAAGTGAACATAATACATTGATATTCGCAGCTGATTGCATTGCCGGACAAACCTGCTCGCTAGTGGAGTCTTCTTGAGGACTAGAATGATAATGATGATGATGATGATGATGACTGTGATGATAGCGAAGCCCCTGGGCTCAAGCGTGACAGCCCTTTGTTGTGTTGTCCTTCGGGGTCGCTGGGGTTTGGTTTTGCTCGGGTGCTCCTGCTGTGAAAATAGCGACAAAGCGATCGCGATAACAGGCTGAGCGCTGATCGTACTCCTCGCGACCACAACCGAAGCGGACCTCCATCAACCTTGGATGCAGCCAGGCGGAGGGGATCGCCAGCACCACACGGTGCATCGCAAGACCGGCTTGATTGCGACACACCGCCGATCAGCGGAATGCACTCCAGCAGCACAAACGACCGGCCCCAGGCAGAGGCGACGCAGTTGGAAAGGCACCCAGAGCCAGGCAGCTCCCAACTCTGACTCGGACGACGCCAGCGGCGACTCCACCTCTACCAGATCCTACAACCGGAGTAGTACTGGTTTGTTTCTGGTCACGTAGCCTGGAGGCAAGTGCCTTCCAAGAACCGTTTCATCTACGCCCACTCTCCTCCCGAAACCCGCCGCAACAATCGCTCCGGCATCATGAACGCCGCAGCGACAGCCAACATGACAGCACAGGATATCCCCTTGCCAGCACCTGAGCCTGTCAATACACAAGCGCCCATAAGATCATGAACTTGCCAAACTCGGGTTTGTAGGTCCCAGTCAAAGACTCGTAGATGCCAGCCCACGTATCATAAACTTTTGGCTCACCCGATCCCAAGTCCACGACCAGTCTACGCGTCATTTTCCTTTTGGGAGTGGTTCCTTCTGATCCCGATCCGTCAAACGAGAATTTCGTTGAGTCGTAGGGCCCAATAAGATCCCAGAGCTCCCTAAATCAAGGTTACTTGGTACAAGGGATCCTGGCACACGACCGAAACCCTGGCCGTAAACCTACAGCACTGGTGGCCAAACGCATTCGTCAACAACTATGGCATGGTGCGAGACACAAGCCACCGTAGATCTTCTGATCGTGCAAGAAGCACATCTGGCGGACCACCATCCCAACCATTCAACCAACCTGCACACAACCCCAACCGCACGCCAGATGCGGCCCCTTGGGGACGCGCGCACCCACCCCCTCCCAACCATCCCAACCGCGTCTTTGTGGGCCGCAAAACGCTGAACCGGAAATCCAAAACCCTCGCGCGGAAGCCCGAAACCCCCCTGCAAACCCTCAAAACCAAAACCCGCAACCCCTCCCGCAGCCCGAAACTCGTTCGCAGCTCCAAAACCCCTCAACCGCAAGCCCGAAACCCGGAAGCCCGATCCTCCTCAATGCAGCAGCCCGAAATCTTCCCCAGCATGCCCGAACCATCCCAAAACCGATACCCTTCCTCACCGTCCCAACCCCTTCCGACCGTCCCCCATCTGCCCCGGCCCCAAACCAGGCCGCACCACAACCTCGCGAAACCGCATCTCAAACCACCAGGCCCCATGCCGACTCCCTCCCAACTGGCCCTCCGAAGCGCTTTCCCGCACCGTCTCATCTAACTGCACTTAAACCTAGCCCCGAACCCGCAAAACCCAAACTCTACAACCTCGAACCCAAACCCTGAACCTCGCACCTACACCCCAGACCCTGCTACAACGCAAACCCTGAACCCGAGTTCCTGACCCTGAAAGGTAAACCCTGAGCCTTAAACCCTTAAATCGCCAAGCCAAAAACCCTTAACCCCTAAACTTCAAAACCCGTAAACCCCAAAACACCTACACCCAAAAGCCTAGACCCCGAAACCCCTAAACTCAAAACGCCAAAACCCGCCCCAAAACACCTAAACCCCAAAACACCCAAACCCCTAAACCCCAAACCCAAAAGCCCCAAGGCCATAAACCCAAACCCAAAAACCACTAACCCTCAACGAACAACTCGCGGCTCGGAGCTTCTGGGCTTTGGGTTTATTACTGGAAAAAATTAGAGATTCAGGTTTTAGGGGTTTTGGCGCAGGGATTCGAGGTTCGGGGTCTTGGGTTTGTATTCAAGGTTTAGGAAGCATTCTTTTTTTTTTTTGAACCCTCTTTTCCAGCATTCAGGGTTCAGGGTTTTGGGAGCAAAACCCGACGCCCCCGCGTTTTTTTTTTTGCTGTCGTTGCGGGGGCGCGTTTTTTTTTTTTTGCTGTCGTGGCGGGGGCGCGTTTCTTTTTTTGCTGTCGTCCCTGCAGGGCGCGTTTTTCTTTTTGCTGTCGTCCCTGCGGGGCGCGTTTCTGTTTTTTGCTGTCGTCCCTGCGGGGCGCGTTTTTTTTTTTGCTGTCGTCCCTGCGGGGCGCGTTTTTTTTTTTGCGTCCCTGCTAGTCCCTGCGGGGCGCCTTTTTTTTTTGCTGTCGTCCCTGCGGGGCACGTTTTTTTTTTTTGCTGTCGTCCCTGCGGGGCGCGTTTTTTTTTGGCTGTCGTGCCTGCGGGGCGCGTTTTTTTTTCGCTGTCGTTGCGCTCCCCGGGCGCTTGTTTTTTATCATCATTGTTATTACTACTACTATACTATTACTATACTACTACTACCACTACAACAACAACTACTACGACGACGACGACGACTACTACTACTACTACTAGCACTACTACTACTACTACTACTACTACTACTACTACTACTACGACTACTAGTACTGCTGCTACTACTGCTACGACAACAACAACTACTACTACTACTACTACTTGTTTGGCTCCTGCATGGAGCGTCGACTGACTGCATAGCAGGTGACAGTTGAGTATCGAAAGGTTGGACCTTACAGCGATGCGAAGCAAAACTACTGCTTTTGTTTCGGGTAAAAGTGTTTTTTTTTTTTGCTGTCGTTGTTTTTTTGCTGTCGTGGCGGGGCGCGTTTTTTTTTTTGCTGTCGTTGCGGGGGCGCGTTTTTTTTTTTTTTTTGCTGTCGTGGCGGGGCGCGTTTCTTTTTGCTGTCGTCCCTGCGGGGCGCGTTTCTGTTTTTGCTGTCGTCCCTGCGGGGCGCGTTTTTTTTTTTGCTGTCGTCCGCGGGGCGCGTTTTTTTTTTTGCTGTCGTGCCTTTTTGCTGTCGTCCTGCGGGGCGCCTTTTTTTTTGCTGTCGTCCCTGCGGGGCACGTTTTTTTTTTTGCTGTCGTCCCTGCGGGGCGCCTTTTTTTTTGGCTGTCGTGCCTGCGGGGCGCGTTTTTTTTTCGCTGTCGTTGCGCTCCCCGGGCGCTTTTGTTTTTTATCATCATTGTTATTACTACTACTATACTATTACTATACTACTACTACCACTACAACAACAACTACTACGACGACGACGACGACTACTACTACTACTAGCACTACTACTACTACTACTACTACGACTACTAGTACTGCTGCTACTACTGCTACGACAACAACTACTACTACTACTTGTTTGGCTCCTGCATGGAGCGTCGACTGACTGCATAGCAGGTGACAGTTGAGTATCGAAAGGTTGGACCTTACAGCGATGCGAAGCAAAACTACTGCTTTTGTTTCGCCGTTGTGTTGTTGCGCGTGCCGGGGTTTCTTGCTTCGCACGTACTACACACCCCTCAAACGCATGTCTTCCGTAATAGTGATGACGGAATACGTATACTACAGACAAGCATTCGGTCGGAAACATGTCTGTATGACAGAATCAAGGCATATTCCACCCATATATTCCTTCTAGGAAAGATACGTCTTCTCAGCTCACCTCCACATCGCCCTACCTATACTACACTACTACTCCTGCTGCTACTACTACTACTACTACTAGTACGGGTGGAGTTTTACTTCGGTCCGTTTTTGTTGTTTTTGGTTCTTTTTGTTCTTATTTGGGCCCCCACGTCCTATTATTTACACAGGATGTCGGCTGAATGTGTCGCCCCATGTGGTGCCGTGCACAATTTTGGCTGATTTGATTTCGATGTCTGAATGGTGTTTTGTTTCTAAAAGACTCATCTCAGGCATCGCGGGTTTCAAGAACGACTCCTATATAGGCTGTCATGCAACCTTGCGCGCGGCTTAAAACAGCGGGCCCCATTCGCAATCACGATGCTC